AACAACAAACTAACTAACTAACTAACTAACTAACTACCTATCAATCACTCTATCTATCTTCTTTGTTTTCTCGATCTACTTATCTATCTATCTATCTATCTATCTATCTATCTATCTATCTATCTATATGTCTAGCCTATCTACCTCTCTATCTATCTAACCTACCTACCTGTCTATCCATCTCTCTCTCTCTATCTCTCTATCTATCTATCTATCTATCTATCTATCTCTCTTGTTATCTATCTATCGATCTATCCATCTATACATCTATCTATCTATCTTTCTCCCTCTCTCTCTCTATCTATCTATCTATCTATCTGTCTAGTTATCTATCTAATCTATCAATCTACCTACTTGTCTATCCATCTATCTGTGTTTATCTGATCTATCTATCTACCTGTCGATGTGTGTATCCATGTATCCTCCTCTCTCTCTCTCTCCCTCTCTGTCTGTTTGTCTATCGATCTTTTGATCTATCTATCCATCCATCTATCTATCTATCTATCTATGTATTTAGCTGTGTGTCTGTCTGTCTGTCTGTCTGTCTATCTATCTCTCTCTCTTTCTTTCTATCTATCTACCGATTTATCTATATCTCTATATCTCTATCTCTCTGTCTCTCTATCTCTCTATCTCTTCATCTATCTATCTATCTATCTGTCTATCTATCTGTCCGTCTATCAATTTATCTATCTATCCATCTCTCTCTCTCTCCCTCCATCTATCTTATCTATCTATCTATCTATCCATCTATCTCTCTATTTCTTTATCTATCTATCTATCGATCTATCTCTCTTTATCTGACCACCACCCACCACCTACCACCCACCACCCACCACCCACCATCACCAACCACCAAGAGAGAAAGAGAGAAAGAGAGAAAGAGAGAAAAAGAGAAAGAAAGAAAGAAAGAAAGAAAGAACGAAAACAAAGAAAGAAATAAAGAAATAAAGAAATAAAGAAAGAAATAAAGAAAGAAAGAAAGAAAGAAAGAAAGAAAGAAAGAAAGAAAGAAAGAAAGAAAGAAAGAAGGGAGGCGAAGACAGGACAGAAAGAAAGAGAGAATGACGAAGAAGAAAAAGAATCATTGAAAAGGAAGAAGAAGAGAAAACAGAGTCAAGAGAGGAAAGAGAAAGAGAACTATAGTTTCTATTTTTTGAAACTTCCGCCCACCGGCTTCGCCGGCTCTACTGGTAATAATAAGAAGGGCTAATTAATTAACTGATTAAATAATTAATTAATTAATTAATTAATTAATTAATTAATTAGCTAAATAATTAGTTAATACACAAACAAACAAACAAACAAACAAACAAATAAGTAAGTAAGTAAGTAAGTAAGTAAGTAAATACATATATAAATAAATACATAAATAAATAAATAAATAAATAAATAAATAAACTGTGTGAGTCAGCCTCGGACAAAAACAGCCCATGCATAAGACATCATAGTTTAGAAGGAGACTTTCGTTGAACCTTTCTCATGCTCTCTGGCAGAAAGGCAGGCGGGGAAGGGGCAGAGTCACGTTCATTGCGGTCCACTTTGGATTTGAGGAATGACGCGCGGGCTTCTCGGGTGGAAATCCCCCTTGTGGCTGGTGCGCGCAAATGCGCGCTTTAGTGCGTGCAAAATAGGGGGCCTTCCAAGTTCCGTCTCGCACAAAGTGTGTTCAAAAAGAAGCAATATTTCCTTCACCCCGAAACGGGCGTCCAAAAAAACAAAATGTTCCACAAGAAACAGAACATGTCCCTCACCCCACCCCTAAAAAAGGAGTTCCAACAAAACAACATGGCTCCCTCCACCGCATATCTCAAAACAGGGCGTTTACAAAAACACAACCTGGATCCCGCCACCCTTTCAAATAACCTAGGGCGCTACAAAAAAAAGAGAGAAACATATCTTTCAAAAAAGAAGGGAGCTCCGGACAAAATGGTTCCTCCAAATGCAACTGGTTCCCTCCAGCCCGGCACACAAAACCACTCCCCCCCTCCGCCCCCTCCGCCCCCCTCCGCCCCTCCGCCCCCCACCCCCCCCGACCACGCCTTCGCCTCCTCCGGCCTTCTCTCAGGCTCCGACTCCACGGAGGCCTCCTGAAGGCGGACAAGCAGGCCCTGACAATGGAATTCAGATATCGCCCTAAAAACATATATACATGCAGTGATATATATATATGTATATATAAATACATATACATATACATATGCACACATGAATGTGTATATACATAGAATATATATATATATATGTGTGTGTGTGTAAATGGGTGTTTCTCTAGAAAAGGGGACCCCGAAACAATGATTGTGTCCTTCCAGGTTTCTCCTCTAAACATATGTTTGTATGTGTGTATATATATATACATATATCGTCGTGCTACTCAGCGACTCAACGGGGTCTTGTGCGCCTTTCACATATTTATACGCAACATTGCGCGCAGCCTGATTCTTGATTTTACTGGTGCTGCGCAGCAGCCAACGACAAGGGCACGTGGGGCTGCTTGAGATCGGATGGGTCTCTATCTATCTCCCTATCTCCTTTCACTCGTCCATCTCTTTCCTTTCGCTGAACTCTTCCCTCTCGGAGCAGTCTGTTCTCATCACTTATCCATTCCCAAACCCAATCTCCGTCCTCTTTCCGTCCAACCTTCTCTTGAAGTACATATTGAGATGGCAAGGGGTGGAAGAAGAGATAGGATGCGGAACCATCTCTTTCTCGCATTCCCACTTTCTCCGTTTGTTCACCTGGAATGCGATTCCAAGAGCGCATAGACGGTGGGGAGAGGGATAACAGAGAAGAGGCCCATCGCCAATACTGGTGCAATCGATGAATGGGTACGTGCGCCGCTGGCGAGGGGCCCATCCGCCAGTTTATCTCTGTCACTTCAGTGTTTCTTCACCATTTCCTCCCTCGCCATTTCCACTCGATTGTTAGGCGAGGAATGGTGGAGGGAGTGAGGAAGCTGAGCCAATGCTCCACGTTGGATTTGTCCGCAGCCTGCGCCGCGCCCGCATTCGTCCAGCCATTCTCTTCACGGGGAGCAAGATCAGCACGAAGCCAGCTCGAAGCGTCGCAGACTAATATGTGCTTGTGTCTCATGTATCTGTTTCGTCTGCGGGTATAAGATGCATGATAGCAAATAAGTAACGCAACTATCATTGAAAGCTAGTTCGATATGGTACTGTGTAATCTTACTGTGGAGCCTGAAGAAGTTATGAGTCACATCGCATAATGGAATGTTGGCCATATACCTCTTTCTGTAAAATAGATCACGTCGCTCTTGAACATCAACGACAAGCTGAGATCCACGTCATTTTAAGCTAAGCTAAGTTAAAATCATTGCAGAGGCAAGCTCTGCGTGCCGCTTAACTTTGAAAAACACACCATTCTTACACGAAATTATAGTTCGAGTTGTTGGCATGTGCAGGTTGCGATGTGTGTAAAATTGGTTTGGCGCAGCTGTGTATTGATGTGCTATTCGAGATGTGTGTTGCGATAGGCTGCTCTGACAATCACCATGTGTCATTGCAAAGCAGCGCGCGTGTGCACATTATTCAGCACGTTTAGTTCTCAACTCTCAAGACTCTAACATTTTCAAGTGTGCATAACTGTGCTGAGGTCCCAACACATTGTTTGCTAGTCCTGCACTTCTTATTAATGCTTCTCATCGATCTATGCAGCTTCGCTGCTAGACTCTGCTCTTTAGGAACATTTAAAACATTGCGCACAAAAACGTGCACGCCGTCGGGAAGGACTACTTCTGTGATAGAACAGAAAGGGCTTCCCAAAGACTATTTTGTTCATATAAAGGGGGATTTCCTTGTATCACAGAAGTGGGGAGAAGCCCCTTGATCCCACAACCCTGGTGCACGCTGAGCTCCACATGATGGAGACTTCTGCGCATCCTCTGAATTCCCAGCTCTCGTCAAACCGCGACTTTTTGGGCGAGACGGAGCTACTAAAATCTCCCTTTGGCTGCCCATCTTCCCCTCAGCTTGCGATTGTCTCGCGCGCGCGTCTTTACTGATTTCTCACGTGTTCACATCATTTTGAACAACAGTTAACCAACCAAAACAACAAAACAATCATGTTGATGTTACTTTCTAATTTTCTCATTAAACTTACCTTACCTCGAGATGTGTTTTTGCCCGCACCCAGCTTGGCGGGGCGCTGAAATTGGGCGGCACTGGGACCGGCCAAATGAACACTAGACGCTTCGATAAACGCTGACCCAACCTCACTTGCAGGCGGGCTTTTCCCCTTGACTTAAATGAGGGGGGGGAGAGGGGAGGAATTCCATGACAAACGTAGGCAAAAGGCGTGTCATTTGCCGGCGCACACCTGGCACTTTTAGCAGGTAGGCCAATGTTTACGCGGGCCGTTCCATTGTCCAAAGACCCGCAAAGAGGGGTGGGACATGCATGTTGTCAAAGTTTCACACGATGCTGATGGACCAACAAAAAAACGAAGGCCTTTCTCAAATCCTCAAATCCTAACCGATAGACTTGCTGATCCAAGGGCTCTGCTGTCGAACTCCTGGGGTGGCGTTTGAAGCCAACATTGCGCTTGGGGGTGCGGCACGGCTCAGCAAACGGCGGGGGTGTCAGTCACATCTGGGTGTGGCTCAAAATTAAATAGGAGGGGCAAACCGCAAATTTTGGTCAATGTTTCCACTTACCAGGGTTCCATTTTGGTACCGGTTTTGTGAGCCACAGCCATCTGGGTTGAGCCAAGACTGTTTGAACAAGCCTGTCCTAGCTGCATTTTCCAGGGGGCACAAAGGGCCTCCTTGTTTCATCTCAACTCTCGACCAGGCTGGCACTTTTTGCATTTTCGCGCGCGCCAACGTGAGACCCGATCCCTTTGGGATGGCGAAGCTTTGACAGCTGAACGCGCCGCGGCACACACACACACACACACTTTTCGGTGCAACTCAGCGCCAACGCTCGGTCGTAGCGGGAAAAAACGTCCACCTAACACCAACACCTTGCATCAAAGAACTCGTCTGGGCATCGCACGTTCCGACCGTTCACTATGGTGGCCCCAAGAGCATCCAACGCCACCAGCCAGCCAGCCTGCCGAAAGCTATGTTTGGGCGCGGCCTGTTAAAACAGCTCCAAAAAGTGCCGCATTCATCGGCGTGGAAAATGGCCTCAAGCCGCCCCAAAGAGATCATCGAACCTCGACTCGTTCGCATGCGCGAGCACGCAGGGCTCAAACCCGAGGGAAGCATCCGAATTGGGTCATAAGCAGCTCCTGCGTTGCATGAAAACAGAGGATCCCTCCACATTGGTTTCACAGGAGTCCTAGTATTTCCCTCTTGAATATCACCAACAAGAACCTGAGCTGGGTGCTTTCGGGCTGGCCCTATTTGGCTGAATCCAAACTCGCACTGGGCCTCTGGCTTATTGCTTTGTCATCCCTGAATCGAAGGGCGGAACGGCAGGTGGAGTCTAAAAATATTTCGCCAGCCACCACCACATCCAACACAACACATCAGTAAATCGCGGTACATGAGGTTCCCATTCTCTACTCGCTGTACTTGGGGCATCCATACTTTTACTATACAAACAAAGCTCAGTCGATGGCCAGCGATGGACACCGATGGCTCTCGACCAAGGGCTGCCCATATGAGCAGCTGACAATCTATATGCCCAAGGAGCGACAAGGGCCCACCAAAACCTTGTCTATTGCTCCGATCCTGGTAAAGTAAAAAGAGGGCCGGGCACATCCCCAAATAAGAACTGCACCTCTGAGGGGCGAGTCAAGTCATCAATTCTGGCAGAGTGAACCCCTGCATTCATCCCCCCCCCCTTCCCGAGGCCTGGTTGATCATCGGGAATCCAAAAATGAGCGACATGCCAACTGCCATATGGGACATGTGCAAATGAGGAGCTAGAAGAATGCCAACCATTCAATTACGAGGGTGCATTTTTTTGACATCTTCTTACAGCTAGACAACCCAAACTTCAGCTGGAAAAGAGAAATCACTCCAAGTTGCTTCCGCCATGAGTTTCCATCTGACCCAAATGTCCCAAACTCCTCGCAATCGACTGGGCGGGCGACAGCTCGGTGTCGCGGCCAGCATCTCGCGGGCGCTAGTCGCTCGCCTTGCGTCCATGGGTTCTCTCAATGTGCCGAAAAGTTGGATCTCTGTCCGCGGGGGAAATGGAAGATGACCCCACATGGAACCTGAAATTCCCGAAGAAGTCTTCCAAGGAGTCAGGTTTCCATGTTGGACGGGAGGGTAAGGTGGGACCTTGACTATGGGCCAAGATAAAACCAAAACCTTAAAAAGTCGATGCGCTCTCCAATTGCCGTCAAGTGTAGGCAACTTCCAAATGCTGGCAGGGACCCTGAAGGGCTCGCTCTTAAAGGATTCCTCCCCAAACGCGGAGACCTCGGACAAAACATCTGGTGCCCTGTGACCATCCGGAGGTTTTCTCATACGCCAGCCCCCAAGATGACCGGGGTCTGTTGACCGCCCTTTAAAAACACCATTGCTCCAAAAACTCGGTTGCTTTCTGCTCCCCTGCTAAAAGTTTAACTTTTAGTGGTTTAATGGAAAACCCATTTGTTGGCAAAAAGTTAAAGTCCTAACATCCAAGCAAAGCGCACCAAAGAAAAGGTGTCAGCTCCAAAAACACACGCACTCCCAACAAGAGGCCCTTCGTCTCTTGCTCGTCTCGCCTCCTGGGACTCTGCCCGGGGGTTGCTGCTTTGGCTCGCCTTGCTGCTGCCCTGGCGAGCAAACAGCACACACTAAGACATGGCTGTGGGTCAAAAATAGGGCAATCCCAAAATGGAACCCTGGTAAAATGGAAACAAAGACTAAAACCTGCGGTCCCCTGGTGGTTTAACTTTGAGCCATACCCACATGATCAAAGGCCAAATGCATACATCCAAAAATGCAACCCCTGGGATGAACCCCTAATTTAGTTCATAAATCGTTAGCATAACATGAGCTGAAATGTTGTTTGCTTTGGGAAGACATGAGGGAAACAACCCGGATTCCCTCCTGGGCAACTAATCATACGGTCCATGGGCATGCGTTGTCAGAGTTCTGAGCCTGAAGGGAAAGCTACGCCCAGATTTTCACAAATGGGCATGGGTCAAAATTAGTCACCACCAGGAATTGGACCGCAAGTGTTAGTCCATGTTTCCATTTACCAGGGCAAGCCATTTTGGGGTTACCCGCTTTTTGACCCACAGCCACATGGCTCATCTCTAAAACTGGGGACCCGTGAAATGACATTCAGTGCCACACCGCGCAGCTCTGAGGTTCTAGCGCTGTTGGCCGAGCTTCCGCTTTCGGATTCGATTCTCCTTGGGCAAAGGGGCAACGCCCAGGGGTCGACACCCACTTGCTTGATTGGTTGAGACCCCATGGTTCTTCCCGTTGCATTTCGCCATCTTTGGGTGACGTTTGAAAACACTCTGGATGAGCAGGGCAAAAGTGCCTGGACAAGGAGTGTTAAGCGAACATATCGGCAAAAAGGGGCACGGGATGAAGGCACTTGAGTCATAATCAACACCTGGTAGTAAAATGGTCTACACAGAACCATGTAACGAATTGAGAAGGCGACCGCAGCTATTTCTGGCTGGGACTGCCCCTTCCTAACCTTCATCTACCGAGGTTTTGATTGCGGCTCACTTGTTGAGAAAGTTCTGATGTAGCTTGAAGCTAGGAACTTAGTTTCATGGATCCTGCCTGACACACCGGTGCCGCTCTGTGGTGGGTGCTGCCTATGAAACCTACGTGTGCTTAGAATGGTGCCTATCCATTTTCTAGACCCCAACAAGACCCAAACACTGATACAGAAATTGCCTTCCCTGTAAAGGAGTGTTATGTTTGATGGACAAAACTTAGCAAGTGGTTGGTGAGTCCATGTTGCAGGAATTCAGCGTAGCTTTAGTGTCCAAAGGCATTTGCAATCCTGCAAGTTCTCCAGCCAAAACAATATCATTACTTCGACAGGGACCCGGTTCCTTTGGGAAGAGGGAGGCCTAAACAGTTCGTACGGACAACACGAGGGATATTATACAGCCCTCCAAACAAACAAAGCAGGTCCTCAAGAGTTTGCGGGTTGCGGCATTTGCAGTTGCAAATGAGGATGGATGGGCAAACAGACTCTTCTCTGGATGTGTTATTTTCTTGAATTTCTAGATAGAGACAGCTGTTCAAATTTGCTGGATCTGCAGTTAGTCACTCAAAACTTGGCAAATGACCAATCCAACATGCAAGCATATGAGTGCAACGTTTTTTTCTTGCACCATGCCTGAATTCCGTGCGTTTGTGAACTCTGGTATACTATTGATGAACTAGTGATTAAGAATTTGGCAGTACTAGTTTGAGCACTGCTACTTCGAGTTTGCAATCGGCTTTGTCGATTCGTTGTTGTATTCTTAGCCTAGTCACAGTTGGGTAGTACTTGAACAGGAGTTCTTACCACGTTTGCATCTGTCTAGACATAGCATGTCATCAGTGCAATATTTGTTTTATGTCTTGGCTTGGCATCGCTGATTCTGACGTGGAGTTGCTTTACTAAGCCTGGGTACTCCGCCTCGCAAACCGTAAAGTGAAACAAGTCCAACCCCTCACTTTGTTGATTCTGTGCATGCCCCTGGTAAAAGCAAAAAGAGCGACGAGCAAGCAACAAGTCGACCCATGAAAGGAAAAAATGAAACTTCCCTTATAAAGAAAAATAAAGAACTGACTGCTGCGATTACATTTCACGGGTCCCAACTTACTTCAAGAGTAGCTGCAATCGCCAACCAAACCCCACTCAGAGCTCAGGGGCGTGGATCGATTCCGCGTGCAAGGGGCATGGTGGGCCTATTGCTTGGACGCGAACTGAAACAAGTGGGTGTGGCTCAAAAATACACAGCTAGGGTTGCGCGGATTTTAGTCTTTGGTTCCATTTACCCAGGTGCAATGTTGGTACATGTTTTTGAGCCACAGCCGAGTAAGACTACCAGAACTAACGTTCTGTTTGCCTCTCACCCGCCCTGGTTTTTCCGAAAGCCCTTGAGGGCGTGGAGGCAACCAAGGATCCTGGAAAGTGGGAACTAGGTCCTCCAGTTTTGGAGGTTAGAATAAGGGTAACCTGTCTATTTTAGCAGGGGAGCCCTCCCCCAAAAAAGGGCAAAAGGGCACCACTGGGGGACCTAGTTCTGTTTGACGTTCACCCTATTTGTTTCATGGGTCAAACAAAAACACGGTTTTCGCTTGCTGGCTTTTGCTGGGGGTGAAGTGCAGAAGCGAAGAAACAATTGCTCCGAGGGGATTCCAACCTCTCTTCACCTGGCTCTACGAGGCGGAAATCCTTGTTCTTGAGGGCGGGCAGCTACCATACTGGGGATGGACGAAATCCTGCACCACCTAGGAAAGCTTGGAATGATGCTTCCCCTGTAAATACCAACAAACAACCATGGTTTCAAAGTGATGCAGCATTTCGTCCATCCACTGTCTATATGAATACAATGATACACCTTGGGGTTTCTTCCGTCCGCGGAACTTGACCGAGGAGTCCTTTAAGAGGGGAGTTTCTGGTGGGTGCCATGTGGACAATGAATGCTTTGAGCAGAGCCCCTTTCAGAAATCCATATCAAAATTAGTCACCACCAGGGAACCGCAGGCTAAATCGTCCATGTTTCCACTTACCAGGGCAACCCATTTTGGGGTTACCCTATTCTTGACCCACACCGATCCATATCCGAGGCTGCCACTCTTTGATCGCCTTCCGGAAAAGATCGAACAACCGCGTGCATCTTTCTGCCTCACCGGGCAAACAAGGCGACCTGCGGGGAGATCCTTTTCGCTTGCCGGAGCCATCCAAAAAACAGGGCCATCTCAAAAACACACAAAAAAAACAAATTGGTTCACTCAAGAATCCAAAAAATGGCTCCTTCTCGTGAATTCATGAAAACCCCCTTTCAAGAAAAAATCGTCCCGTGCCGAGCCTCGGTTTGGTCGGTTTCCTCGATGGGAAAGGGATGCTTTGGATTCCCTCCCAGGCGGTGTATGCGCTCCACCTCGTGCGAGTCTCGAGTCGCATCGAAAGGATTTCCAAAGGAAGGTAGATCCATACTGTAGGGGTACCATATATACATATATATATATATATATATATGTGCTCACCCCCGCCCCGCAGGGCCTACCTTTCCACTTCAAAATGTACAAAATCCTCTTATTTTAAAGACAGGAGGTGTGAGCACATATACTAATGTTGGATTCTCCAAGCCTCATAATTGGGAGCCGGGAGTCCTCCAACAAGTCCAAACACACACTCCCTTCCAAATAAGATTTTGCCCACAATTCATAAATCACCATAATTTCTATACTTAATCAGAATTTGAATAGGAATACCTTTCCAAATAAGAAAAAATAACATTTCAGTAGAGTTTAAATGTACTTTAATGCAGGGTGAAGTGAACATAAGAAATTACTATAAGAGTCCCTTCCCAAATGTGACTTAAATTGGAATAGAGCTTATTCTGGAAAGAAATCACTTGGCCTTTGCAAACAAATGTTAATAGCAACTCATTTCCAAATATGATTTAGATTAAATGTGGCTAAACAAATAATCGGCAAATATCCCCAGACTCCCAAATTTGGTCTGGACATTTGTTTGGCATGCGCAGGTCTTAGAGCTTTCATTTTCAGGAGATTGTGTGCTTTTGGGTCTGTGCAGGTTGCAGAGCTCAAAGCCGCAAAAAACAACACAATGTTTAAATGGTTCTTCCCTGGTGTACTCAAAACCACTGTAAAAACCAGTGCTTTCAAACCGAGCCAGACTCGAATCTGAAAACGGAATCCGTTTTCGCTTTGTTGCCTTTCAAGCGTAAACAAAGCAAACACTTGCTGTCATATAGAAGGTAAATCACCAACAAAAACACTGTATTTTACACTGTTTTCAGGCATGTGCAAGAAAGAGGCACACGGAGTAGACTTGACACCTTCAACCAGAAGAGAGGAAAGGTAGGCCCTGGGGGGGGGTGACATATATATATATATATACATATATGTATATCGCAAATTTGACTTGATGTCTTTGCCAGGTCATTTGCCCCAAACTGTTTTCGGTTCCCGACTGCTCGAGCATGAGCTGGTTTCAAAGATATGGGGCAAAACTCCGTACCCCCAGTCAACATCCCAACCCCGTCTAAAATAGACCAAAATGGGTGGTGCACCTACCCCAAAACGGTACCATTGGTTTTGACCCACGGCCATATTGAGGAACAATTTGGCCGCGATCAATCCCTTTCAAGGGATATCTTTGAGCAGCGCTTCGCCCTACCTCTCGCGCACCCTTGCGAGCTTGGTTCGGGTGTAAGCGTAAACCTGCCGCACAAGATTCGGAAGCGACGCCAAAAGGCAAACACCACCCTTCTCTCCGGAAGAGGTCCATCCCATAGCAAGCACCGTCAGGTGCCGAAGGTTCCATCAAACGAACAGCCTCTTCTGAAAACGCAGGAGCCCGCAAAAAAAAAAACAAAAAAAAAACGAGATGCCTGAAGAACTGAGTTGCCCTGGGTGTTTTTGGGGCCCGTGGTGTTTCCAAAGATGGGGTCACAAAGAATGCTCAGTTTCCTATGCTGGCGCATGTCACTGGAGGGTAAGGGACAAAAAACGGGCTGTAAATGCCAACTAAACGGGAGTCCGCCCTTTTGAGAAATATCATTGTGGGCGAGCCTTTTCTTTTATTGAACCTTTGGAAGGTGTGTTTAAAGATGGAAACCGCCCAGTTTCTAGACTCCCCGGTTTTGAGACAAACCCATTTCAATTTTCACGGTGGAGAGCAAGCGCAACCCACTCAGATCCAGGCGTGCGTCGGATGCAGGTTGGCTGGTTCCAGCACCTATGCCCAGTTTGCCACACACCCAGCCAAGAATATCGTTCCCATGGGACATTTAGTGAGTCCCCGGGTTTCTGCAAAATATTGATGGTGACTCCCCCTATGCTCCTCCCAAACAAGCCACAGGAGATTTTGGCCAACCCTCTGACACAAGCACGGCGTTCACCATCCAAAAGCAGCTGTTGGGTTGTAAAAGACTCCGCGGCACCATAGTGAGGGGGCTGGGACATGGCGGACTATGTCCCTGGATCTGTCTCAGAAAGGGCAAGGCAGAGTCCAATGATCGAGGATACACAAACTGTGTCTATATTAATCTCGTGGCGCGGTGCGAGGAACGAGCACCGGCCCTATCTCAAGCAATGGCTATCACTTGAGATTTGAAAGCCAGGGCCGTGAGCCCAAATGGTTAACATGTGCTTGCATGGTCAAGTGTCCAAGGCTTCGTGGCATAAGGACTCGGGTCCAGGACTCTTCTTTAATCTTTAGACCCAACATGTTCTTGAACCCCAAAGCCAGGAAGGCAGAGAATGAATAACTTCGAATCAGCGGTTTGGCGTGGTGGTGCGTTGGAGGTGTTCCGGGGCGGTTTCCGATGTACTTCAAGAACCAGAGGTTCAAGAACCAATCCGTGGGCCACCTGAAACTAGGGGTTTTCGGAGAAGAAAAAAAGGGCCCACACGCCTAGGTTTTTCCCTTCCTGACTGAATGGGCCAAAAAGAGCCCACACGCTTCGCTTCTTGTCTACCACCAAGAGTTGTCCTCCCAAGCTTCAATTGCAGAAGCTCATCTCGGTGAGTCTAACTAGGGGGCACTTTCCCCATTCTGAACCCAGGGATCCGAATCTTTTCAGGAAGCCATCCAAAAACCCAGCAAACAGATCTGGTTCTTGCAAAGAACGATGCTTGAAAAGAAGGGACAAGGGGGACAAGCAATCAACCCCTGGAAAAAAATGGGTTCAGTTGACCAGGTCTAACAGAGAAAAACAATAGAAAAGCAAAAAGAAGAAGAAAAAAGGGGAATCAGATCAGGCCATCTATTTGTCTAGCAAAACAACCCAAAAAGGACATCTATGCCATCAGGGATCCTTACATTATACACCTGAACATTGCAACTTGTAAATGGTGTCCATTTCTTCATTCTGGTCTTGAAAAAGCCACCTAACCCTGAAATGGGAATGTAGCTTTTAAGGAGCCCTGTTGAAAAGAAAGGGGACCACCGGACCGGACTTGTTTTCTGCCCCGGACCGGCTTCCATTTGAACCTCTGAGCGCTCCCCGAAACCGAGAAACCCAGCTCTCGCCTGGATGCCGCCGGCGAGGCCCGCGTCGCCCTCGCCGAACTGCACGGGCTCGTCCAGGCGCAGGTGCCTCTGGCCGGTTCAGCGGAGCTCGACGCGGCGTGGCCTTTTTGTTTGAAGGGGGAGCCCGTTTTTTTTTGGTGGGGTTTTAAAGGAAATCAAGAAGAACCCATTTTGGGGGAACCCAGTTTTTTTTTTTACTTTTTTGGAGGGGGGAACCCACTTTTCAGTGGTTTTAGAGGAAGCCAACAGGAAAACCATCCACTGTTTGGGGCCCCCAAAAAAGCAGACCCGAATGGGGAGCCCAACGAATGAGTGCATCGTTTACATATGGATGTTGGTTATTTTTATTTGGGTCCCCCTGAAATCGAACAAGAACGGGTGCCCGCAAGACACGACATGCTCAAACGGTTTGGTCTCAGGTTGAATTTCGCAGGGCTGAAGAAACTTGAGGACGGCTGCTTGAGCACTTTGTTGGTGTGTTTCAATCAATGCGGGAGGATTCCTTCAAAAAACCATCAAGAAAAAAGAGCCCTATCTTTCTCGTGGGATTTGTTTTATAAAATTAGCGAGTCCCATGTCCCTCAAATGGACCGGTCAACTGGAACTGGTCACCTTGTGGTGAACATCATTTGTATAAAGGCATGTGTTTTTGGCTTTCTTTGGCTTTTTGCTTGGAAACGGCTGGCCCCGCTAGATGAATACACCGCAAAACAAGCCAGGGCCCGCGATTCTTCAACGAAACCATCCAAAAAGGACACCTTCGTATCAAGGCCGATGTCCACCAAGCGTTTTTTGAGGGTGTTCCAGCCATGCGTTGAGTCAACGCGAAGTGACTTGCCATGTGAGTCATAATCAAACCCGGTATTAAAATGGTCTACCCAGAGCCATGTAAAGAATTAATAAGGCGGCCGCAGCTATTTGTGGTTGGGATTGTCCTTCACTGACCTTCATCTACCCAGGTTTTGATTGTGGCCCATATGTCAAAATGGGCGGAGAAAAAAAGCGCGGCCTTTCTCTTTCAGCCACGGGGCTCAACAAAGGCTCTGAACTTGGTCGGATGCAAGCTGGCCATGGCCTGCGCTCATGAGACTCACCCATTTCACGTGCTCGGGTTAGAGAGAGAAGATCCCTTTTGCAAGGTCTGATACTGTGGATGGACGAACTCCATTCCGCACTACTCTGAAACCATGGAAACCATTGCTTGTTGGCATTTACAGGGGAATCATCCGACACCAGGGTTTCCTAGGTGGTGCAGGATTTCGTCCATCCACAGTAGGTCTCTGAGCTGACGAATCTTTGGAATTCGTCAAAAGAAAGCTGTGACGTGCCTCGCAGATTTTCCGCATTCGGCCTGAAGCAACCAACTGCACGCGTCCAAAAGTTTGCACGACGAGTCAGCATGGCCGGCTCAAAAAAGCACTGAGCCCGCCGCATAATCGCGCATGCCCGACCATGCTATGGTACACACGGCGGTATTGGCCTCAGCTCCGGCTACTTCCGGGAGCTGGGGATGGAACGGTGCCCCGAGTTCTAAACAAAAAAGGATGACACAACTGCAGGTGTCCTTTTATCGTACATAGCTGGCTCTGATAGATGATTGAACCACTAGGGAAAAAAACAAAAAGAAAAAGAAGAAAGAAAAAAACACGCCCCGGATTTTTCCACCAAACCCACCAGAAAGGACAAGACACCCTATGTGCGCAAGATCCTTCTCTCACTCAAAGGAGCCCGTGCCACTTGCTGCCCAGATGCACGAAAGCTGGGCCACCAAGATCTTCATCAAGAAAAGAAGAACCTCTCAAGAGGCATCCGGTCCCAAGGAGTTGTTGTTTCTTCTTTCGCCCCTCAG